CAGGGACAGGGCTGGCTTGGGGCTGAAGAGACCCTGGGACAGTGGCTGGGGCTGGGTAGGGGTCCTGCGACTCTGGGGTAGGGGGTTGGGGCTGGCTTGGGGCTGGAAAAGGTGAAAGTTGAACAACCAAAAAGGTTCTAGAATTTTTAATAGACTGAAAGCCATAAGCAAAAAGGCTGCAATTTGCCTTGGCTGACTTATGAGCTTGTTACTAGTTTAGTTCAATGTTGTTGTCCTTCTTGCCTGTGTTTTCCATATATATATATATGCCGGCATTCTTTTGCTCCTGAGTCGCTTGACTGGACATGTCTGTTTCTTTTTATTTATTTTTGAACTTTTTTTGATTTTTTTTTGACTTTGACTTTTCCAGTTGACTTTTTTTTTAACTTTTTGACTTTTTTTTTAATCAAGGATTCTGGCCTTACCATATGAAAGTTTTTTTAAAATAATGATAAGCATTGACCAACCGGCCTGCATTTCATCTCCTTCGTTGCAGCTCATGTTGATGTTTATTGGTATTTTGTTTTTGCTGCCGATTGTATGGGTGGCGGCCTGATCCATCAAGGTTACCTTTTTGGTTGAGAAAGGGGGGGCAGGGCGTGCCAAAAAGACATCTCACCCTCGCTGCAGCGCTTTTGTGCATGGCTCGGAGTGACGGAACAACCAGGCAGCTGATGGCCAGGATCAGTTGAACTTTCACCTTTGGCTGCAGCAGGAGGCTGAGTGGGTCAAGTTAATGTGTCATGGCATTTCAAGAACCAGATGGGTCAGCAAATGATCACGCTTCCAGCCTGCTCAGCGGGTGAATCAATCACTTGGGGATTCCACATGTCACATGTTTCGCGAGGATTGTTGCTGGAAACACCTGTTTCAGGTCATGTCATGGGTTGGAAGGAGTTATTTGGTTTGGTTAGCTTGGTCACCGGACTTCACCCTGAGTTTTTTCCAAGTTTCGAACTCAGTTGTGACTGTCAACACTGTTAAACCTCCTGGCCCACCATCACCAGGTTTTTCGTTTTGGATACACCGATAGACCTCCAACATGTGTTTGGGGTTGCATATGTTTGTCCATGCAAATCGAAGAACCTCGATCAAGAATTGTGCGGGTCTTGGAAAGGCTGGGAACAGAATGCCAAGGTCCCAAAGAGATATCGATTCAGCTGAGAAGTCTATAATGTTTCTAGGTTTGTATTGTGAACATTTGTGAATTCATTGACGCCAACAGAATGAGTAAGTCCAGCGGAAAGAGGTACAGTAGCTATTGGAAACATTTAGCAGCAGTTGGTGAGGTTTAATAACTATGTGTTTTTGATTTGGAACAAGACTAGTTCTCCGGAACAAGTTAAAGTGAGGTGTGATCAGTGTGATCCTGATTTTTCAGTGAACTCCACTTGGGACACCCTCCAACCATCCAACCAAAGATAACTATAAGTGATCCCGGTGAAGCTAGACCTTCTTGTCTAACAATGTTTTTTGATGTTAGTTCTGTCACATGTCGCCTGAGTTTTTTTGTTGGAACCTGGTTGTGCCAGGCCTTCCTTGAGAATGAGGCTCCATTTGAGGCTGACACCACAGGGTGAAGATGGGAAGGTCACCAAATTTCAGGCAGTGTTCGTGTGTTTTGGGGGTTGAATGTCCGGAACAAGTTCATGGAAAGACATTATAGATAAGGGACTGCCAGTGGGACTGCCCTCAAACAATACCTCTGAATTTCGAACCTCCAGAACTGACAGCTACCACCTACCACA